CTCTCTCTCTCACACACACACAATATATATATATATATATATTAAAAAGACTAATCTTAAAACTTAAACTTTTGCAGGTACACTAACAGGGTAAGATAAATCTATTGAATACATTAACAGATATCATTAATATATATGCTACATAAATACTTATCAGACCCACAAAAATTTAAAACTTGTTCAATGTTGAAAAAATATTATCAGGTGACAACATTTAAATATTATACTATGTGTCACTTTTCATGAAGAGAAGCAGATCAAAAAAATACTGAATTGTTCTGTTATGCACTTAAAGAAACATAGAATGAGTGAAAGTGAGATGGTGGAGGTACGGGGTGGTGTAAAGAACTAACAGATCTAATTGATTTTCTGTTTGCTATTTTTCTAATACATGCTATGACAGTTTTCACTGCAAACAAAGAAGATTGTCAAATGACATGGCAATTCAGTGGTAACCAATTGCAATGAACTGAAAGCCACACATCCATAACAAATGACTAAAAAATTAATTCACACAACTGTTTCATAATTTTAAAACAGAAACAATAGCCTTAACTTAAATATTAAAAACCTTGCTTGCTAGTTAAATATTGATTACCTACCACCATATTTTAGTTACCTTAATCACATATAACCTATTTATATATAATGGTTATAGAGTTCTATGAGATCCAGTAGACAATTTGAATAAGTAGCCTCATGAATCTGACTTGAGGGATTAAAATTAGAATTTTGTGGTTTATTACTAAGGTATATTGTTAAATTAAATATCAATATATAAATTGAGAAATATGCTTTGTTTGTGGGTAATCAAAGATTAAACTTTAAGCCAAATTATCTCCAATCCTAGATACAAACATTGAACAAATGTAAAGACATTTTCCCCATAGGTAAATAGAATTTGAATTTGATTAGTGCAATCAAGCTTACTTATGTATATACAAGATGAGTTAAAAAAGTATCTGTCTTTAGTTTTTCCTGCCAAAGCTAATACTGCATGGGTAAAATCCTTTGGGTAGGAGATTAAACCAACCTTTCTGCATACATGTAAAAATTTTCACACCAATAGTCTGTGTCAGTTTCTGACTATTATTCCTAGAGTATAGATGTGTAGTGTGCACTCATCTGATTTTTGTTTTCATGCAAGATGACCGAACACATTGAGCAGAGATAGTGCACCAACCCCTCCTGGTCAAGAACAACATACCACCTGTTTGACAGGCTTCCTACTCTCCTGACTTAGCACTGTATGATTTCTGGCTGTTCCCCAATCTGAAAACCACATGATTCTCATATGGAGTTGCTTCTGTTACTCCACCAGCACCATGAAGATGAATTTTCTCCACATGCATTAAAATGAAATGCACTGATTCTGTGTTTAATCCCACTTCGGCTTGTGGATGGCCTGCCTGAGCATGCCTCACTTTCGACTGAGATACGGCTTTGTTTGAAGTAGGTGTACCATTCCTTGATCTGAATTTTATTCATCATTGCCAAAAGTCTGCTGGATCTGGATGGTTTGAGCTTGAGTATCACCAAGCTTTTGGCAAAACTTGATGCAATATCTCTGCTTGATACTTGCGTGAAAATGAACATCCAATGAGTACACACTACATGTCTGTTGTCTTGGAACTGATGTGGCCTACTGGTGCAAAGATTTTCATGCATACACAGGAAGGATTTTGCCCATGTGGTATTAGTTTTGACAGGAAAAAAGTTGTATACTTTTTGAATGCACCATGTATATTTATTTACATTTACAAACTAAATCCTCAATTTTCAGTAATTTTGTTATTATTCTTGCTTGTACTTGACTAATCTAACTAAATTAGCAATTTAAAAACAAACGTTGAGAATACACCAAGACAAAAAAGAAGAGCAAAACGCGGACTCAACATTTCTCTGAGAATGGATACGATTCAAGTTACAAGTCAACAATTGAAACCAAGAGAAAGTTATTTAATGAATATTCTGATATGATGACTTATGGGAAAAATCTTGCTCGGCATCACTTTACATGACAGGAAGAGCAACATCTGGATTTGATAGCAGATTGGAGTGAAGGACATAACTGAGACAATCAAGAATGACAAACATAGATAGGCTGGCCACATCTCTAATCCCAGAGACAACAGGTGGACTATTAGAGTGACATAGTGGACAATAACGCAGTAGAAAAGAACTAGAGCATGGCCAAAGGCAAGATGGCGCAACAATCTGACCTGATAAGATGACCCCACATGGCCCAGTATGGCCAGAGATAGGAAGTGACAGAAGTCAACCAGGATTGAGAGAGATTTGGATAGAAAGAAAATATTTGAATTTTAACTTGCAGACATTTAAAAACAAAATTCATCACATTTAAATAATTATTCAAGAAAGTGGAAAATATTAGAACAAAATAATATAAAAATTATCTCCTTGTATATGATTATTGTAATATATTCATTCTTGTATAGATGTCTGAGGTTTCCTATAGCCCCACTGAACTTAAATAAAATCAATTCAGGTTTGCTATGGTAAAAATTTTCTATCCCAAGTAAAAATCATCACAAAAATGGCAAAAGTCATTTTCTCACAGCTTATTTTCTCGGAAAAAAAAAAAAAAAAAAAAAAAAAAAGGATTTTATAGAGGTAAAATATTGAAAAATGACTGTTTTATCATCATCTAAAAAATATCAAAGAAACTTTTGATCTGAACCCCATGAAACTAGGTATTTTCTGAAAGCAAAAGATATATTCTTTCATTTAAAAGTAAAATTGGCTGGTGTAAATTTTTTTCAGGGGGTAAAATGTGAAAAAAATAGTGAAAATTTTGCATTTTTTTCTAGTACTAAACAAAAATTTTCCCCATTAATGGGAAATTAACCATTTTTTTTTTTTTTTTTTTTTTTTTTTAATCAGAAAGCCTAAATCATAATCAAACTATTTCAGGCATAAAATTGAGAGTTTTGAAGGAAATCAACATTCCGAGGGGGGCCAAAATGCGACAAAGTCCATTGGTAATTTTCAATTATATGACTGCCAGGGGTTAAAAAAAACTGATACCCAGCCACAAAAATCTTTAGTAAAAGGCAAAAGATTTATCTGCAATTTCTGACCACCAGAAACCAAAGTTTGTTTGTTTTTTGTTCCAAAAAATAGCAGTGATAAGAAAAATTAAGCCAAATTGACTTTGCCATGTCTGGATCAAAGGTCAGCCTATGTTTGAACAATGGCTTCATGTGTTTTGTTTAGTTTTTAACACCCCGTGACCCGAGTGATGACAACAACACTTAGCAGGCGACATTGTTTTTTTTTGCCGCATGTCTTTCGTATTTTCCATCACCAGGCCATTTAGCTGTTCCTTTTGTTCAATGATGTTCACGCCAAATTAAGGAGAAAGGGATGAAGTTTGAATGATATTATTTTGAAGTGAAAATAAATATTTTTTCATTAAAAAAAAAAAAAAAAAAAATAGGTGATTTTTCTTAAAAAATGGGCATAATTTCTTAATGCTAACCGCCAAGTGACATTTTCCACAACCAAATTGAAGATTAATTACCAGTGAATAATTCCATGTGCAAACAATAGCCATCTGGATCCTATAACATTGCCCGAAAAGGTCCAGAAGTGTACTAACTTGTTGGGCATAATTGTGTTTTTCACAGTCAGTTTCCATTATTTCATCTTGATGTCATTTTTGGACAGCCAAGTCATCAAGGATTCAGGAAAACAGTTTGGCACAGGTTTGCTTTAAGAACTTTACATTCTATGAGGTGTTTAAAATGTTACTGACAAATGGGATTTTTTGCCAAATATTTCATTTACGTGCCATGTTGGATTTTCCTATATGACAAAAACAAGGGTTTTAAACAGCTGTGATATAGAAAATAACAGTTTTTATATATTTGGGCAGCAACCTTTCTTTTAAACATGTTTTGTTGAATATGAAAGACAAGGAAACTTGGATTAATTTTCATTTATTTTTTCCAACATTCTTACATTTTTTTCGTTTGGTGGGAGTAAAGGAGTGCAAAAATTGTCCATTGTCCCAAGCACTTTTGGCCACTTCTTTAGTCATTTTCAAAGGGGTTTGTTAACTTCTCTTCATCTTTAGAATGTACTTTTTTGTGTTGTTTAGAATACTAATAAGAGCGTTTATTCCAAGCTTCTCATGTTGAGCGCTGTAATTCAAGTAAGCGTCTTTCTACCTTACTGTCACCAAATGAAAAAATGTAAGCTTGTTGGAAAAACTAAATTAAAAAAATTAATCAAATTTTCCTTGTCAATCATATTCAATGCCACAATATATATATATATATATATGCTTTCTGCATTCTGTTGAGGTTTCTATCAGACTCGATGAATTAATTAAATATAATTATCAAATGCTCCTAATAATTACTATCTGTGTATATCATTGCTTGAACCGGCTTCTAATGCTCTAGAGTGAGCAGCTTGGTGAGAGTAGTCATGGCTTGAGGGGGCACTGTAGAGTTCCACCACGGAATATGTGAGCGAGCAGCGCTATATTGAGTCTGATTTGCAATCTCTTCATCACTGAGGCCCATTGGAACAGTTGGTATGATGTTTGCTTTACAACCTGTCAGGGTTTCAATTCTCGGTAGTGGTTGCGCACTGCTGATGAGTCCCAAATATAGGACGAAACGGTCGTCCAGTGCTTTCTGCATTCTGCTGAGGTTTCTATCAGACTCAATGAATTAATTAAATATATATATATATATATATATATATAAATAAAAGGATGAATCAATAAGTCCATAGCTTGTTACATAGTTGTTAGCAAAACTTTGTTTGAAATTTCCGTATTATAACATTCAATCTATGTGATTAATATTCACCACTGAATTAAGTGCCTTGACAAGTAAGTCAACTGCATTGAAAAATAAATATTTTTTGGTGTAAAATAAATGCTTTTATCTTTTTTCATCATTATACTGTGGACTTATTGATGTAGATAGATAGGTTTCACAAGAATAAATGTGTTTTCAACTTACCTGACAAAATCCCGATACAATTTCTTGACAATATGTAGATATGGATTGATTTCATCCTCATACTGGCAGATACGGCCACCAAGGCAGACATGTTTAAATATGCGGAAGAAAAATTCTTCTCTCTCAGATTCAGAATATAGTTCATAATTGTCACTTTCTTCAAGCAGCAGCATCTAAACAAAAAGGAAATTAATTATTAGATCAAGTCTAATTTGAAGCGAAGAGAGACAACTCTTGCAAATACAGAAAAGCTATTTATTTAATCAGAATTTTTAGTTTTCACTTAGGGGAGTTTTTCACAATCTTAAAATTTTTTTTAAAAAAAGCAGTTGTAATAGTGAAAATGAAATGAACTTTGCAAAATTGTACAAAACCTTGGCTTGTAAAAATTCCTGGTCAAATCCAATAACTAAGAAACCACACTTGTTGCATTTCTTTTATTAACAATTCTTGAGTAGAATTTCAACTTTCTTTTTTTGCTCAAGTATAATTAAAAAAAAATTTAATATGAAAACATTTACAAAGTACTGCAGCAAAAATCCTACAGATAGTGTATTTTTTTTCTTACAAAATCAATGTAATACTTAACTCAAATAGTTGAAGCATAAGTAAAATTCATATTTGTTTTCTATAATACTTTGTGTTATTTATGGATTTATTCTATTTTCCATAAATTTTTATTCTTTGCTGATGAGCAGCAAAATTTTTAATTTATACAGGAATATGCACTCATCTTTTCTTTTTTTCTTCTTTAAAAAACTTCAAATATTCCAGAGATAAAAGATGATTGAGATGTATAATATTTTCCAAATTTTTATTCTTTTTGTAATTTCAAGTTTTGCTAAAAGGGAACAAGCAATAGACAGAAACAAGTGAAAAAAATTATATAGTGATTTGATAACACACAAAGAAAACATTTATTAAATGAAATTATCATTATGTGATCAATGAAACACATAAATTGATCTGAAAACACTGAAATCTCCACTCTGAAATAATTTAAAAATTGAATGTTTTTAATGATGTAATCATGAAATTTACATATATAGCTTTTAAAATTGTTTTAAAACTCATATTAAATTAATAAGTGAATGGAAAAAGTAACCAGATATGTTCATGTTAGATAAGTATTTACTTTTCACGTCTTGTCATTCTTTTTTTTTTTTTTTTTTTTGCTGAATGATTTTTGGCCTGTCATAAATATAAAATATGAAATGAAAATAAAACTGAAAGCAATTGTAGTCTTTATGAACACAAACTGACTTATTGAAGGCCAGATAGATAAAGGTTTGTATTATTGAAGATTCAATGATTTACTTTTCATATTCTGAAAAAAAAAAAAAAAAGAGTCATTATCATCCCAAAAAGTATTTAGAGCCCTGAAATCATTCATTATGTTGAAGTTGTTACTGCTACATTTCAGCTAACCCATTCTACAGCTTTTTTCAGTTGTACAATGCATAAAGAAAAAGAAGGTTAGGTAACAAATATGATAAATGGTTCACATCATTCCCTACAGTCCATGCAACACGGGTAATTCCATTGCCTTTAATCCACGCAACACGGGCGGTCCCATTGCCCTCATATATGCTGTTTCCTTCAGTTTTCTTACCATCCAGAAATGATCAATGATCATTATAAGTTATTTAAATCTGATCACAGAGAGGCTAATGAGACAGCTTCTCCTTCCAGAAGTCATTGTTTTATCAATAGAAAGTTATCAGTAACTGTCTTTATTGGAATTTGAACAAATTACAAAGTTGGGTTACACTTTATTTTAACTGCTACTTGTATAAAATGTTGTTTGCTAATACAACATTGTAAATTGGATCATAAACAAACTTCGGTCAGAGTGATCTGATTCAAAACACTGATCAGGACACTCAACACCTGATACTACTTGTTCTGCTTTGTTGGAGAAAAAAGAAGATAAAACACAAAAAATCTTGCCCCATTTTACCTACTTGAATATTTAACTGAATATATAAAGCCAAACAAATGCTGAAAATTATACATATTTCCAGCATTTGTTATATATCATACAACAACACTTATTGATAGACATAAAATATCTAATTTAACATATGTCAAGGTAAACAGAATTTTTTCAATAAAGTAATGGATGATAACTATCTAGAGCAATAATTATACTAGCAAAATATTAAAAGTTCACAATACTTTTGAAGATCAACTCAGAGTTTTGTAATGCTTTACTTTCAGGACCCAAATAAAATAACTGTGTGTATATATATATATATATATATATATATATATATATATATATATATATATATATATAATATATATAAAATTTCAGATATAGCTACAATATATGTATAAAATACAATATGAAGAAAGACAAAAGGAAAACTTATCTGTTTATATTTCTAAGATGAAGTATTGTGATTATTTACATTGTTCGGACTGTTGTCCGCATTTTTATCATCATATTCATGATGTTTCGGCCATTGAACACTCCAGCCTTTTTCAGGTGATTGTAATTTCAAACTGAATCCTTTATTCCATCCACTGAGATAGATTGTTCTAATTTCACATGCTATCTCCCTTTAACTCAACTTTCCAAGTTTTGTTCACCACTGCAGTAACCAGGTACTGAACTCACAAATCTTTGGGTCAAGTCACTGTATCCACCCACTGCTATTGCAGTGGGGAACAAAACTTGAAGAGTTGAGTTAAAAGGAGATAGCTGAGACATTCAAAAGAGGCATGGCATGTGGAACTAGAACAATCTACCCTGGTGGATGAAATAAAGGGTTCAGTTTGAAATTCCAATCCTCTGAAGAAGGCCGGAGAGTACAATGGCAGAAATGTTGTGAATATGGCAATAAAGATGAGGACAACTGTTCGAACAATGTAAATAAACTTATCTTAGTCAACGTGTTTTGTCCTCTAGCAGACTTTATCAAGGTAAATGTGAAGATTTTATTTTGCAACAAGTATTTATAAACAAAAGTAAAAATGTTAGGTTTGCAAAATTTTAAAATTCAAGAGACACTCATAAATATTTATCAGATTAACTGAAAAGTCTAGATAAATTAAGGAGGATGCTAAGTGACATAATTTAATGCCTAATAAATGATAGTGAATAAATGGTGTTGAATTTTTTTATGCAATTATTTTAATTATTTTAGAATGGAGATAAATTTATGTATTATATATATTTTTAAATAACAGGAGGTAATGAATTTAACCATCTTGTTTTAACTTTTTAACATTTTTATTGTTATATTTTTTTTATTTTTATTGTTATACATGTTGGCTTTGGATAGTAGTAATTTTTCGAGAATGGAGATATTTGAAAAACATCCAGAGTGCAAACTTACATTTTGATAAGATTCAATAGCAGCACTCTTAAGAATTTTCCACCTAAGTTACTTTCTCTTTTAATAAGTGTGCCATTCTTTAGATCAAAGTTGTAGAATTTATTTCTATGTATAAATAATGCAATTGATAAATTGTTGTGTATAAGATTTGTTTTGCGATCATAGATACATTTTTTAAAAATTTCTGCAACTTTCCTCAAAGCATTGTAAAGAGTAGTTGTGAAAGTTAATTTTATATATACCTGCTTCAAAATTATTACACTGATCATATTGATGATCGTTTTGTATGTAATTGTAATTATTTTGATATTATTAAGTTTGGATAAATTGTTTTGGATAGTAAACGTAAGGGAGAATTTCCTTGGAGGACAAAGAGGGTTAGAGTAATGAAGTCTAACTGTGCATATAGGACGAGCGAATTGCTAGCGAGGCAAACCATCTGAGCATCGGCACTGGAATCAGAAAGCGCATGTGTCATTGAGTCAGATCAAAGCTGGCAGTATGCCTGATATGCGAATTCTCTGGCCTGGCAAGAACATTTAAATATGGCGAGTAATTGTTAGTTGGCAGAAGGCTTGCGTGCCCAATGCAGTTCATGTCAGTGTGTACTGAACCAGAATCCATTGCAAGCATGTTTCCAGTGTCTGTGCTACAGAATCCTAGATCTCCTGCTACAAGCTATTTCAGTCTCATTATTATGGTGAAGGTGCATATAAGCAGGGACATGGTAAAACCATTTACTGGTGAAGGAGCCATATTAGCGTGGTTGAAAAAAGTAAGGCTAGTGGCGAGGCTTCAGATTGTGGATGATGTTACAAGTCTGCTGCCATTGTATTTGGACAGCAATGCACTAGCCCTCTACATGGAGGTGGATGAAGATGACCAAAAGGATATAGATAAGATAGAGGCCTGGTTGAAGGAGACGTTTTCCAATTGTGCATTCACAGTCTACAAGAAGCTGAGCCTGGTCAGGTGGGCTGGCAAGTAGATAGACATTTAAGTGAACAGAATCAGGGAGTTGGCTGGATTGGCTGGGTTTGAGGGAGTTGGGCTGGAAATGCCCACCAAACTAACTTTCGTCACCAGGTTCCATGATGCCATCTCTATCGGACTTCAACAGACACCAAACATTGACACCCTACCTATGGCGGACCTGATAGAGAGAACACAATTACTGACAATGGCTGGGAACCAAAGTCAGTATGTGATTGCAGGCATGTGCTCACTCTGCAGTAATACCATGTTCCCTAGCAAGAGCGATTTTAGCACCAGTTCAATCTGCTACAGGTGCAGCAGCAAGGGTCACACAGCAAAGAGCTACTGATGCAGCGAGGTTGGGCACTGGGCCCGAGACTGTCTGGGAAACAAGCCAAGAGATGAGGCATCAGTGGCAGCCTTCTTCACCACTAAGATGTAAATGTGGTGCTCCCAAAGATGAAAATCTATGTTGACAGGACACGTTGTTTGACACTAACTGACACTGGTTGCTTTCCATCAATAGCAGATGCAGATTGGTGTTGATGCTAGAAGGAGGAAAGAGTAAATGTCAGGACGATTGCAGGTACATCCAATGTGTGTTGTGGTGCCAGAGTGGTCACCATATCCACAGACAAAGGCGATTCTGCCAAGGTTGATGTTCTAGTGGTGCATGGCAAACGACTAGGTTTTGACCTGCTGTTGAGGATCGATGTGATAAAAGCATTGGGAGGTGTCTTTGTTGGGCCAACAGTATCAGTACAGATCAGCAACAGGAAAGCCACTATGTGCACAGCCATTTTCATCAATGAACCAGATTTCACCACCACCTTCGGCGATCAGAGCCGTACATGGATTGTGGCATGGAAGTGATCAGAGGACCGTGCACCAGAAGGACTAAAAAAATGGAGTGTCAAAATACCTGGTAGCTGCAAAGAAGACTATGATTAGGAGCTCCACACGTGGATAGATAATGGTTGGCTCATGCCATACCCAGAAGAAAGGCTGGGGCCTCCCAAAGGGTTAATTCCTTTCATGGCCATACTACAGCAAAATAAAGAAAAGGTGTGTCCTATGATGGACTACTGAGAACTCAACCATTATGTTGACGCATTCACTGCTAATGCAGATGTCTGTGCAGCTAAGCTACGTGAATGGTAGCAGAAAGATTTTAATGTATTTCTGTTGGACCTCAAAGAGAGCGTACCTTCAAGTACAAAACGCTGTGGCCATTCCTAACTTTTGATGGGAAATGGTACTGCCTGACATGTTTGGGATTTGGCCCCTACCCTTTATCATGAAGGCCATTGTTAGCTGAGTGATGTCGCAGGAAGAAGCCACTGTCCACGCAGTATCAGCTTATATCGACAACATCTATATCAATGAAGATGTTGTGCCAACGATCCGCATCAGAGAACACTTGGCTTAGTTTGGACTGGAATGCAAGGATCCAGAAAGATTGGAGGATGGCGCACAAATGCACTGTTGGGGATTGACTGTTTGGATGAAATGCAGTGAATTGCAGTGAAAGTGAGGAAGCATGGTCCCAGAAGCTTTCAACATCGTTACACAACGGACTGGGTTCTTGTGTGGGAGGCTTGTCGAGACCTCCCAGTACGTGGATGGTTTTGTGTGGCTTATGGCATTATCAAGAGGGGAGTCAGTTCAGTCAAAAAGGGCTGGAATAATGCAGTTAAGGACACACTCCTCCAGTGTGTGATGTTTGTGGATGCAGTGAAGCAGGATGATCTGGCTCATGGCGATTGGTGAGTGGATGATCGGAAGCTTTACATGTGGGTTGATGCCAGTTCTTTAGCAATCAGTGTAGTGTTGGAGAAACACAGGACTAAGTTGGAGGACATTTGTTGGCTGCAACCTGAAAATGATGCCCAACATATAAATTTAGACGAACTAGACACCATGTTAAAAGGCATTAACTTGGCACTCTGATGGCAGGGCAAGTTGCTGCACATAAAGACGGACTCTATGTGTGTGTGTGTGTGTGTGTGTGTGTGTGTGTGTGTGTGTGTGTGTGCATGCATACCACTGGGCATCAGACACTCTTACCGGGAAGGCGCGAGTACACACCAAGACAGCAAGCAAGATGCTCATCAGGAGACAGTTGAGTACACTCAAGGAACTGGTGAGGGAGTACGCGCTGACTGTGGATGTGATGTTGGTTACATCAACTGAAAACATGGCTGACCGACTGACCATGGTGCCATAGCGGTGGTTTGATGCAATGAAGAAAGATAATGGCTCTGGGCCATTGATCAATGCTGTCCACGTGGATGAGCTGGATGAGAGTCAAGTCATGTCAATCTGCAGGAGCAGTGGGAACCAGAGAGTACGGCGCACCACTTACTTCATCAGGAGAGTTTGCTCAGCAACAACAAAAGCAGCTGTTAAGTCAGCCATATGGGGGTGTGAAGAATGCCAATCGATAGACCCAGCACCAGACCAGCTGGAGACGGTGTTATTTGAGCATGGCCCACCGTATGAGCTCCTTATGGACAATGACAAAGCCTTTTGCAGCAGGGAGTTCAGAACTTTTGCACAGGAGTGGAGAATAAGCCAGCGATTCCATTGCGTGGGGATTAAGCCAGCGATTTCATATGCTCCAGCTGGGAATGGCATAGCAGAGCAATGTCACCATACAGTGAAATGAATTGTGGCCAGGATGCACTGCTCTATCCAGGAAGCCCCTAAGGATGACCACTCTCATTTGACCACCACAGCCAATGTGGTCTATCAATATGAAGTTCAGGTGGGTTGGTGGGGTTGATGCCGTGACAATGCCTTCAGGTTCCTGGGCATAGCCCTTACCAGGTTGGAGATGACATATGGTTCAAGACTCCACAGAGTCGGTGTACGACAAAGTTCAGTAGGGGTCAGGTGACTAAGATAATTAGCCCACAGTCCTGTCTAGTGGGCGGAATGCCTCAGCACGTGAAGGACACATGCCCATATTGCAGTGTTATGATATCAGAAGACTCCGACAGTACAACATCTTCAGAAAGCAAGTTGGAGAATCTGTTACATGACAATGAAGATTTGAAGTTGGACAGTTCACCTCCCTGCCATTGCGAAGAAGCACGTGGTGAAGACGATCACCTCCAAGCTGCCACTTTTGTGATCAGGAGATCAGTGGGGAGTGTGGAAAATTTCTTCAGAGGGCCAAGAGGGCTAGAGTAACGTAGCCTAAATGTACATATAGGACAAACGAATTGCTAGCGAGGCAAACTGTCCAAGCATTGGCACTGAAATGATGAGGCACATGCATCATTGAGTCAGACAGATGCTGGCAGCATGCCCAATATGCAAATTCTCTGGCTTGACAAGAATGTTTAAAAAAGTTGAGTGTTTGTTGAGTCATCAGAAAGTTTTTGTGTTCAACACAGGCCACGACAGTACATACTGATCCAGAATTCATTGCAAGTGTGTTTCCAGTGTCTGTGCTACAGAATCTCAGATTTCCTGCTACAGTAGGTATTATTATATGTCTGTTTAAAACAATAAAAAGGTTAAAAAATTAAAAGAAAACAGTTAAATTCATAACCTCCTGTTATTAAAAAAAAAAAAACACATAAATTTATCCCATACTAAATTAATTGAAGTATTAATTGCATAATATTCAACAACCTCATTTTCTCACTTTTGTTTATTTTCTCACTTTTAAATTATGTCATTTAGCATCATCCATAATTTACCTAAACTTTTTAGGTAACCTGATAAATATTTATGAGCATCTCTTAAATTGAAAAATTTTGAAGAACTCACATTTTTACTTTTGTTGCAAAATAAAATCCTCACATTTGCCTTGATAATGTCTGTCAGAGGACAAAACATATTGGCTAAGATAAGTTTTTGTTTTATCATTAGTCATATAGTTTATTTTATATTTTAAACTTTTAGCTTATTTAAGCTTTAGCTTTTCTTACTATTTGTGTGTGTGTAAGAAATATTCTTCTATAGAGTTTAATCTTCCTGAAAATGTGTGTATGGGTATATGCAAAAGGGGTGCTGAAAAGTTCTCAACTTGATCAAGAACCCCTTTTTACAAAAATTCTGATGTTTCATCATTTTGGTCAAATTTTAGGAAAGAGGTCAGACTGATATTTTATGAGCATCCCATGTAACATACTAAAGTTCTACAACTTAATTTACCAATTCTCATTGCTATTAGTTCTATTTAAAAGAGTTATATAATATTTGGAAATATCTTAATTCACCATTCTAAATCTTAACACATGACAAAGCCTATTAAAAGGCTAACAGTTACCTTTCTAAGTTCATCTGAAATGATGAAGTCTTCAAAAAAGTCATCAAAGCATTTACGTATATGGCTTCTTTCAGTCACAATTCCATTTTCTTCAAGTCGATCAAAAAAATCCAATGACGTGACAGTACATGGGACAACATCCCAATCAATAGAAGCTGCTTTCTGGCCTGGAAAACATTTAAATAATTTTATTTGGAAAAATAGATGAGCTCATTTACAAATTCATTCATTCACTCTCACAGAATCAACATAGAATTGTGAACAGTATGATGGCTCTTCCAAAAATATTCTCATCAATCAGACCAATTTTTGTTGAAGAACCTGTCTATAAATACACAAGGCAGACCATCTAAGTTAACCCTTTTCACAATGACTAATTTGACTATTCATCTATGGTAATAATCATCATCATGAATCTTAGATGAATTTTTTTCTTTCATTTGCTTAAGTCTGATATTTTATTAATTCAATAAAAAATTCATTTTGTTGGGTTTTTTACCAAATATGAACTATGGATCAAAGGACAATATATTTTTAATCATTTCACTCCAAGAAAGGCAATAAAGCCACTAATACATACGGTGTAAGAATATGAGAAAAGTGTGAGAGAATATGAGAAAAAGAAAATATTATTAAGGAGTGAGAACAACAAAAGGACAGGAATTAAGAAAACAGAAGATAACTATTGACATAAAATTTTTGAAGATCAAAGTTGACTGGAAATCAAGAGTTCCATAAATGAGATGTGCAAGAGAAGAAACTGTTAGCATCGAACTTGCAATTACATCTAGCCAATTCAACTGTAAAATGATGAAACCTGGCCATTAATCTAGCATTGTGCCTAAATTTATAGAGTCTAGTTACCAAAGAGGAAAGCTCATCAGAACAATTACCATGAACATATTTGGAGAAAATTTGTTTAAAGTTGGTTTTCAAAAATTCAAAATATCCAAGAAAAAAAAAAAAAATACCCATTGGCACATTTCTCATGAGTAAACTTTTTCTAAATCCTTTAAACTTAAAAAATAGTTCTTAGATTTTCTGAAGTTTGCAATTGTAAATTTGTTAGGAAGACTTTCTTAATATGAAGTAGATAATTGATAATGTCAATGATTATATTTTTTTTAGGATTTTTGAAATAAAGAAATAAAAAAAAAAAAAAAACAGTGCATCAATGCATATCATAGTTTGTTATTTTTAATTTTTATTTTGCTTTAGAAAGTGTTGTCAATTAGTGCTTTGATAAAGGAAAATTATAAGAGTATAAAACCAAGCTACTTTATGGCTGCCAAGGTAGCTGTTCATTACCTACCGAGGCCAGTGGCTGGCGTTCTTTCTCACCTATGTAAAAAGTTGGTATTTTGAATGCTGTTTTTCAACTTTCACAAATCTGAAAGGCATGAAATTTCCTCAATATTTGTATTAGTTGGAGAATGTTCCATTTGTAGCTCATATTTCATGCTATTCTCAATGATGACTATTACTTCACATGAATCATTTAAAATGTCTAGCTACATTTTATGATCTCCTGACCTTTCAGTCTAAATATATGTGTGGCACTTGATGTGCTGCTACAAAAACATGCACCTACTGTCCACTTTGATACAATATTAAAGGATAACAACCCTGTGAGACTGAGCTGTCTGCCCGTGGTCAATTCCCAGTTGTGGCACGAAACTGTAATGTTTCTCCCACCAGTGTTTTGGGGTTGACTTTTAGTTGCTGCCACCAGCCTGTGTCCCGGTTGATCGGTGGTTGTCGCTACCCAGCAAAATCCCTTGGTCAGGGTACCAATATGTGACACTGGCCTGTCCTGGGTCGAATTCTGGTTGTCGCTACCTGGCGGAATTCTTTGGTTAGGGTATCGAGTCGATGCTAACGGCTTCACACCAGCTACAACCAGTTCAACACCAGCTCTGTCATTCCCAACTCACTTCCAATGTCTGGTTACCAAAGTACCTGCTTCAATCTCAAGCTTAACCTACCCACATTGTGATTTTGATCTTAGGTAGACAAGATCAATCGGGCGTTGGGCTGTACTGTAAGATGAGTCCAGACTGGAGGTGATATCGCACAAGCGTAAAGAAAATAAAAAAAAGAAGGTTCGAGTATGCTAAAAAATAACAAATTAGCTTTATCCGTCTGTTACATATAGGAGTGTGTTTCTCTCCCAACCTGTTTTCTACGGAGTGTGACATATCTACGTTTCTTAAACAAATTTTGGTATCTTAAGTCAACTGGTTTAGTTTTTAGGTGCTGGCTTGGCTTCATTCTTCAGTATAACTTGCTATTTGTGGGATAGGCGAAGTTGGAGCTCGTGGAATCTCTCGATCAGCTTCTGTGAGGCAACACTCTGGTTCCTGCTACTTGAACTGAACTGACTAACTGACTGAACTGTCAAATGGCCTGAGGACGTTCGTTTATATGGGTACCGACCAAAAACCGGTGTTGAGTTAGACACAGTCTGGGGTTCTTGGTAAATCTCGATTTTCAACAAGAAATCTCTGTTGTCAGGCCAGGAAAATTGATTATTTCCCATTTTTGGAAAATTAATCACTTTCCATTTTGGGTGGGAATGGGGGATCTCCTTGTTTGTGAGAAAAGGTTGGAGGAGAGCTATCCTCCTAAACTCTTCCTCTCTCACATTGATACTTCATACCAATCCCTTCAGTGGGCATTAATAACTTCCCCGTCCTTCTCATCAAATTACCTCTGCCTATCACCATTGCTACCACTCAACCAATGGCATCCCGGCCATGCGGGTGTGGCTAAGCTGGCCAAGCCGGCCTCCTTAAAATTATAACTCAGAATTTTTTCTTTACAAAATTCTCCCCCCCCTCCCATCAGCCAAAATTTTTATGAATCACACATTGCCACTTAAAACCTCTCAGATCTTTTGGTCACTCAGAGTCTTCTTAACCAGCACTCTTTACAAATTCCATCAATCACTTGTCAAAGTCTGCCATCTGGTTCCTTCATGAAGTTAGCTTTTACTGGAACCTTTGGCTTCTTGAGAAGTTAAATTCCTTATTTCCCAAATCACGATTCTTCCATGATATCTTTTCTTATGCCCAAAATTTTATAATCACCATATTGCTACACGACGTGTCGTTGCCTGAGGACGACATTTTGGAAAAGTAAATAATAACAATTCTCTCCAACTTGTATCGGAATAAAATATTTCTCATGCCAAAATTCCCACAAATACCATATGGCTTTGCCTTGCCAGCACTCAAGAAAAGTAATATCATGGGAAGACAGTTAATACTGATTCTCTCTACCCCATATCGGCAAATCATCTTGTGCCGAAATTTTTATGACCGCCATATGGTCTGCCCGATATCTCAGCACTTTGCTTTTTTCTGAATCTCGTGTTTCTCTCGGCAAGCATTCCTTTTACAAACAACATTAATCAATTTGTCAAAATCTCACATACGGATTTTCTACGGGTCTACTGTCTACGCCAATTTACGGGTCTTTGTGAAAAGTAACTTTTTCGGAAATAAAATAAAAATCTTTTTAATATCAAACGGTATATCTTTCGGAATATCTTCTTTCCATTCTCCGTATTTCTTGTTTTAATTTCTATGGTTAATTAGTTAGCCAATTACCATAGCTAAATAGTGTCACAACCCGTTACATTGTGAAAATAACAACAGATAAATCCTATAAATGAGTGACTATGATGCAGGTTATTTTAAAGAAATCCAATGAAATGATTTGCCTACCAAGAATTGTCCAGGAATTGGAGGTACGTATTTGTAAGTTGGAAAAAACAGCTGGATCACTCATAAAATCCTGAAAATAGTAAGAAAAAATACTTGATAATTTTTAGGGAATAAAATTTGTCACTAATTATTCTTGTAAGATATGACAGAAAAGAAACACAATTTTATATGATGCTGTTTTGTCATATTGTGGTGAAAGGCAACCTTAGTTGTCACCCCCTTAAAGTGCTTGAATATAAAAGAAATAGCCAAACCTCACTTAAGGGCAGTAATCAAACTGCCTTGAATAAAGCTTCACTACAAGTTTGTGTGTTTTTCTTTACACATATTTTTTAAATGCTAAATAAATACATAAATAAAATTGAAAACAGAAAGCAACAACAAACAATATAAGTGAAAAATAATTTACACTCTTTCAGATGTAAATAGCCACATTGATCAGCTCACTTAGTTTGCTTCTTTTTTTTTTTTTTACAAATATTCTCAAAATCTGCAGGTATTATACTGAAGACATGGAGAACACTTTATCAATTTTAGTTATTAACTATGGTTAGTTTGACTCTCAGCAGCAGCATGTATGTGGTCAGAGGTCAATCATAGCAGCAGAAAGTTGCTTATGGGTATAGATGAAATGTAAGCCAATCACCCATAAGTAGAAAAGTGGATGAAAAAAGAAAATCTATTACTGTTAGACTGTTGCTGCTATCTGACATAAAAGGCAAGTGGTGGTGTCTCAACTAGCAGTAAAAGAAAGAGGCTGCTGATACATAATAACAAGGATAATTCATGTATATACAACATTTTTCAATAAATGTATGCATTATAAAACATTAAGCCTAAGTGAAATGAATATAATGTGATAAAATCTAGTGAATGTGAAAAATTTAAGTCACTCTCAAATATTCTATATATTTTAAACAATGAAAATCAGTGAAATGAGAACAAAACGAGTATAATTGTCAGTTTAAAAGTCTATATAATAGTAAAGTTGGTATTGAAATTTGGAGAGATAAAATGACTTGAGTTTGTCAACAGGTGAAAATGTTCTCTCAGCTGAGAAGAAATTCTCTGCTTTTTAAATGCTTGAAGAGGATCATAGAAGAGAGCTTTTAGTTTTAGTGGGAAGTGATTTTATTGGGTGAAATATCTTTTGGTTTATTTCTTTCTTTCCAAAGGAAAACTCTGCATGATTCCATAATGCAGAAACATATTTTTAGTCATTTATCAATTAAGCACAGGAAACATTAACTTTCAATTCATATCCTGATCGCTACATGCCCTTCATTTAAAGTCTTTATATGCTTACATAATCAATTTTCATACTTCCCCTTTTGATTGTTTCAAATAGCATAACTGAATTAAATTTATAAAGTATTTTGTTACATAAAAAGGCAAATTAATAACTTTATCATTAAATTATAACAATATTCAAGAAACTTATGGCGTGGCATCTCTGTTATCTGATCAAAATTACAAGATGGCATTTTGAGTTTGTTCAACCTCCAAACTGATTTAAATGATAACAAATGCTCTCATTATTTTGTATCATTTAACTTTTGTCATAGGTTCTGGAAGAGATACAAGTACCAATATTAAATATAAACATCAATAAGATTGAACTCTTCTAAAAGCTCCATCTTGATGTCTTCATGCATAAATCATGAGACATGTATGGCATGAAATTACTCCACATTGTCTGCCAAGAGACTTTCTTTTTTTTCTCTCTTCAGCCACAGGATGCTGTAGTGACAAAATGCATCTCATTTCCTTTTGGATATGCTTCTTTTTTTTTTTCCACCTAGACAAACTATTTTCTCTCCCTTTTTGAGCTATGTTATAGCTAAATCAGTATATAAATATATATAAAATGCATATATGCATTGAATTAAGTTATTTAGAAAAATGTTGAAATATTCAACAGAATACCATTATAATTAGTAAGCCCTTTTCATTACAATGGCATTGGTTCATCGAATATTCATTATATGAACATGAAAAGAAACAAAAGAAATAAGTAATTATTCTGAGAAGTAACAAACTTTAGAAAAATATGAAAGGTAGTAAAAGTAATTAATACTAATGATTAATAATTCTAATAACTGACTGATTAACTTGGAGAAATGTATAAATGAATTAGAATTTACTTAATGAAGTTGCTCAGCTAAAATACTTAATTTGTTAAAGTTTCAGACAAATGGCTACCAGAAAATCAGTATTGTGTGCCTTTGATTTTGTGTTGAAACTCTTAGATGTGTCTCATGATAAGTGAATTAGAAACACAAGAAAATGAATATTTCAATAAGTATAAGATCTACTTACATTCAGAAGTGTCTTATGTTCATAAGATTGGAAGGGTTGGTCAAAAATAAACAGCTGGGCATTTAAGTAATCTTTCATGCCCCTAAAAGAGAAAAACAGCAAATAATACAGATAGAAATATACTCATTGTATATTATTATAGAAGATACATGCCACTGGCAATAAAACTATCAAATAAGACAAAAAATTATGGTGTAATATTTTAATACTGAAGAAACAGTTATATTCCAATTTATGCCACCCATTTCAACAGATAATCTATGACTGTTTTTTTTTCTTGGTTAGAATGGATTGTATTCTGAATTGACTTAGCTAGAGTTTCTACTTTCTTTTGTCTATAGCAGGTAACATTTCATGACAAAAACTCATTTTAGCGTTACTAACTGGGCAATGGTTTCCAAGTCCAGAATTAACTGACTTATGTGTTAAACAAAAGAACTTGAAACAAAATGGGAAAAGGCAATAGAACGGTAATTTAAAAAAAAAAAAAAAAATTAATTTTTTTTATATTTCCAAAACTGAAAATGCAAAAATTAGAGACAGCAATATACTGGGTGGTTTTGATCTTCCCCTACTTATAGAAATTGAACTCATCTGAATGATAAAAATGCAACATAAGAGATAAAAAGGTAGTGTAGCTGTGGTAGCCATGAATGTGGATAAGACTGAACGCTTTGCTGGTGACCAGAAAAATTGAGTACTCTTTCTGCAAGGTGGCAAACTGCTTGAGGTTTTTTCTCAAAGTAACAGTAGCAAGAGTATACCAGGAATATAGATATTATAGACAGACATCAACGGTACATGAAAACTGCAGATGTCTTCAGATAATGCAAGAACATGACAGCTAGTGACTGATAAAAATGGTAAGCGTCTAACAAAGGGGTACATTACATTAAGTCACATCTTAAGTCAACACTGGTGCCACTCAACCCATTAATCAAGACACTGTACAGCACATACTGTATTCTTTGGGTTTGCTTGTTGCCAACTAACAAGTGTAACATTACTTTTTTAAATTATATAAAAATCCACTGTATTAAAAAAAATTATGTAAACTTTTAGAATATTTTCAAAAGGGAAGAGATTTCAAATCAGACATCTTTTACTCAAAGAGTAAAAGTCACATGATAACCCCTAAAATTCTAAATTAGAAACATTTAAAAAGGTACATTCTTGACAAAGGAATCTTTAAATTGCATTTATCTAAAATTTAAAACACTTTAAATTATTTTAAGATATTCTTTAAATACAAAATGCTCATGAACAAATATTTTGCCCATAAAGTGTTGAAATGTTGTTGCTTTTTTTTTTTTAAATTTTAAAATCATGTAATTTTATTAAACAATTTGTAAAGTGTAGTAACTGTTGTCTGAGGCACATCATCAGGATATACATTTATCTGATAAGCTGAAGATTCTATTTCAAAACCAATATTTGTTAGCAAGATTAAGGCTAAATCAAGGTGATTCATATATATTCTACACATATGAGGATCACCTTGGGCTAAATGAATTGATATTTGGTATGAGATATCAATCATTTTTTGTAATACTATTCAGAGCATAGTAATCATTGCATCATCAGTAATGACCATTTTTTAAACAAGGAGACTTATCCATCCACTTTTAGAAAGGAAAATCACTCTGGAACTCTTTTTTTCTTTTTTTTTTTAAAAATTCTTTTCATGCCCCTTTAGATTTTTCTACAAATAATTTTCAAGGTTTGGCAAAAACTGGAACTTGCCATTCTGTATCTATCCGGTGATAAACTCCACAGTATTTTCCAACTGTCTATAAGATAATTCAACACTTGAACATTTTCTTATTAATTATCTCATGAACAGAAGAAGACAAACATCCTTAACAATTGAATATATCAATAATCTAGTTACATTTAAATTAATCTTCTTTTCTGTAATATTATATAGTGTTTGTGAAGAAAAACTTTAACAAATCTGTATAAATTAAGATTTGATAAATAGACAGATTCAAATTATAGTAGACTCATTATTAAAACATTATATTAGTTCATCAGACAAAATAAGACCTCTTTTCATCAAAAATTATTAATATATACAATATCCCTACTGAGTGGATAACAACTTAAAATTTAATCAACCTGTAATTTATGGAGTAAGTTAAAAATTATGTGGTATTTAAAACATAAATTATTAATAAGCAGTGCTTCAACTTTTAGGCATGTATAGTTATTAAGTTATTAGAAATTCAGAAATTCACACTGAAATAGTCTCTCAAGTATTGTGGCATTCCCCATCCATTCTACCTGGGAAGAGTCGTGCCATCTGGTGCTCCCTTGGTTCAGCCCCCAGCATCCCATGTCACAAATGCAACAGATTTTTCAGGGCAAAGATCAGACTCATTAGTCATCTCCCCCACCCCATATGATTCAAAGTCATCTCCGGATGTAGAGGACAAACGATTGATTGAGAAATTTTATACTCTTCAAGTAACACTTTAGAATTGAGCTGAGCATTTCTCTGTTAAATACTTGCATGCATTTTGTGTCTACTTCTATGTCTGTGTGACTGGTATAAATAATGGACAATATATGAAGCCTGGAGTCTGAGTCAGTTCACATTGAGATAAAGTAGCAGATGGATGAACAGTCCAAGTTGAAGTCATCATTAAGAAATCTTCCTGTGTCTAGTTTTTCCTGTCATACAAAAATTATCTTCATAAGAAAAAACTGTACTAAAAAAGAAAGCAACACTTTCTGTAAAACACTTCAACAATTTCTGGAATATATAAAATTTTGTATTTGCACTTTACCATCTTCTCCTTTTCTTTTTGGATGAGATGATTATTTTTACCAACCCAAATTTTTACTCCCTCCACAATTGTTTTAAATAATTTTATTTTTACAATCTTTTGTTTAGTCAAAGTTGTTAGAAAAAAAAGAATTAGTGACAACAAGCAATCATAAAATAAAAGTCCTTTGGCAAGATCTTTTTAAACAAGAAATGTCAATCTTCACATTGACATTTTGTTTTTTCATCACTGGGAGGTGAAATTCAAAAGATCAAAGCAATTCCATTCACAAGAAAAAATGGTATTAAAGAAACACTATCCCCAGTGTCAATAACAAAATTATGCAACACCTTCCAGAAGTGGTGAGTCAGTTATTTGCTCAATTCATTTTCTGTGTCACTGGGAACAGGAGTTGGTGATCAAGAACTGGTTAACATTTGAAAGTTATTTTGCTTCTTAGAACATCTGCACAAAGGTCTACACATTTTTACATTGTTGGTGTAAAAAAAAGTGATTTCTGCATATTTTAGGTTTTTGTTCTTTAAAATAGGGTCAGAATTATTTGGCTGTGTATTTTTATTATATTTTTGTGAGTAATATGACCGTATTTGTTAATGTTTTACAACAAAAGCTATGGAATTTCTATTCAACAAAGACATTAGTTCATTTGTTAGCTTGCCTACCTAAGTAGGGGTTAAGTCTTTTCTGAGGTTACATGCTATAGAAAAGAATTCAACAGGTGAAAAAGTGAGAAAAGAAATTATTGGAATAGAATTTACAATTGCATCTAGCTATTTCAATAGTAAAACAATGAAACCTAATTGCCAAGCTAGTACTCTGCTTAAATTCACATGGTCGAAGTACTTCTCAGACCAACCCTCTTTCTGATTTACTTAAAGTTTTGGTTTTATTTGAAAGATAATAATAGCTTAACACTAATATGAATTAAAAGAAAAATTAATTTTTGTATATAAAGTTTTTAGGCATTTTTAAAACATTAGCACATTCATTTGTCACTCATCAACTACCACTATAGATGAATAATATAAATAACAAATTTAAAAATCTCTTAAAAATCCAATATTTATTCAAGAGACACATTTTGAAGTCATTTAGTAAACATAAGGATTAATTTTTTTTTCTTTTTTAAACATTTCACCCCAAGCAAGGTTGGAATGCATCTAGTACACAAGGGGTTACAGAAAGTGAAGCTAAGTTAGGTACCTCCACGAAATCGCTAAAAAAAAGACCATAGCTTGATGAAAAAGACGCCAACCTTGCCGAAAACAAAATTTTATTGTCTAAATGCTTATGTTATTATTTAGAGGAAAGACCAAAGTTTTTTTTAATTATTTTTTAAAATTTTCCTTCTTTTTTAGAAAATTCTAAATTTTGATTAAAAAACCTTGTTTTCTATTTGTATCAGCGGAACTAGTAAATAACAGACAATTTTTAGCACGTTTTTTTTTTTGACACACATTAATTTGAAAAATCGTGCAAAAATAGAAATAATTATCGGATGTTAATGAAACTTTCAGGAACTATTCACAGATGATCGAAATTATTATAAATGTTTTTTTTTATGAAAGTCATGGTAGAAATATTTTTTTAAAATATTTATTACCCCCCCATAACTAATTTTATGAAAACGCTAGAAATTCGATCGCATCGGTTTTAGTGATTACAATAATTAAAAGCACAATGCTTTGAGGAATGCAAATCATGTTTTTTTTTGTTTTTAATTGGATACGCAGTACCTGAAAATCAGCTCTGAATTGTAACATACAAAACTCAATAAAACAAAGATATTATTTAATTTCAAATGCTTTTATTTGCTTTTAGTTGTTTTTATGAATATGAACAATATTTTCTAAAAGCAAAAAAAATTTTTCAATGAAAAATGAATTTTTAATACAATTATTTGTTATTTCATTAATTATAATAGATTTTACATTTAAGTTGTTAAAATATAAAATTAGTTAAAAGCCGCACAGGCTTTCATAAGTGTCCTTATGAGATAGATCTTTTTTTAGCGCGTTGTAAATTGTATCATTTTGACTAATCAGAAGATCCCCAGTAATTAAGAAATGTAATTTTGTGTTTATAATCGAGCTGTAATTATAAAATACGGAAGACCAACCAGAATATAATTAAGTTGCGTTATTTGAGTTAAGCATTGTTCTCCGCTGTTAAGGCCTTTACTTTTGCGAAACACGTGTGGAGAAGTTAATTTGATTTTTCAATTTCAACTGAGAAGGGTACCTACAAGTATCAGTATCATCTTATGAAATTTATATGATCTTATTTTTATATT